ACAACACTCTTATGCACCAAAGACCAGTGCTCCCCCTCTGAATGGCGGTGTGTCACAGCAACAGCCCGCGGGGCTGGATGGCATGTGGGTGCATGTGTGTGTTTGTGGCATTCAGGTTAGGCCTCCACAGCACCGGGAGCTGCAGGGGAGCAGGTCCCGCGCGGTAGCGCCCCTTGCCTCACATGCTCATGCCCTGGGACCTGGGATTGTGCCCTTTGTCACTGCCCCATCCCCATGCAGGATTTGGGACTGCCAAGGCCCGGGGCCTGCCCTGCCAGAAACAGTTTCCAGATCCCGCTCCACATAGTGGTTGCATTTGTTTTCTCTGTTTTATGAGCTGGGGTGGAGTGGGTGGTGGGCAGCTTGCTGGCAGGTTTTTGCAAACTTTACATGTTTATACTTGCTGGAGGGCTGGGGTTGGGGGAGAGAATTGGCTGGACTTGAAGAAGGCTGGAGCTGAGGCATTTAATAGGACCAGATTCCTCTAGCTTTTTTTTTTTTTTTCTATTATATATTTTCTCTATCAACAGATACTAAAATAGCAATAACGGTAAACCTTGAGAGCTGTGCCTAAGCACTTTGCACACCTCTAGCTGTCTTACGAGGTGGGGTGGTCCCACTATTTATAGCCATTTTGCTGATGGGGCAGCTGAGGCTGATGGAGCTGAGGTAACTTGTACATTACAGCTTAATTCCCTGGGAGTAACTGGATTCCAACTGTAAGCAGTCTCCTTCCAGAGCCCGAGCTCTTGATCATTTACTTGATCTTATCACATGAAGTCTGAAAATAACAGCAGAAGGGCCTCTCACACTGGAAAATGTCTAGGGACCACTCACTATAGCTCCTTCTTTAAAAGAACAACAGGCCCAGCTAGGGTCATCAACTGCCCAAAATGAATGGCAAAGCCAGTTCACTTGCTTCCAGGACACTGGGAATTTCTTCCAGGAAGGTAACTGCCGGGATGGGTAGGATCCCCAGCTCACTGGACTCTATGTGGGTTTGCCAACCATGTGCCCCCAGGGTCGCCCTGTCTTAGAGCAACTGAGGCACTGGTTCCTGAAAGACACTGGTTCTCTAAATGTGGAACCCCTGCGGTTCCAGGGTCAGGCTTATCTTCATAATGATAAGGTCTCAGCTGCCTTCTCACTGATTTCTCAGAGTGCCCAAGGGAGTTTTCCAGAGGCCTGAGACATGCGAGGACAGCAGTCTCACTCTGACAGCTGGTGGGATGTGAGCTTGTATGTGCAGATGTTTTAACATTCTGTTTTTCCCGACACAATAAATATTGATAGAGTAACACAGGAAAACAAATGCTCTTTGAGATGCTCAGTAATTTGTCAGAGAACAAAGGGGAAGCTGAGACCAAAGCCCTCAAGAACTGCCATTCAGAGGTACCAGACCCAGCAAAGGGGAGCAGACGGGCCAAACAAAGGGGTGCCCAGCCCAGCTGCACCTGGCACTGCAGATACCTGCACTCTGGCAGCGGAAGGCTTGTGGCCAAGTACAGCTTAGGCAATGGGCAAGAAGAGGAGAGCAGTTTTTTTCTTGGTGCTGGAACAAAGCAGAGCGCCCGGGGATGGTGCCACATCAGTGCTTCCCGATCTCCCCCTGAAGCCCTTTCACCCTGAAGAGAGGACGCAGCCATGGCTGGTGCAGATGGGAATTTTGTAGGGGTTTTCCAGAAAGTCCAATAACACAGTTGATTTCTCAGCATGCCCACGGGACCAGTTGAAATTACTGGAAAGGAAATAGTAGGGAAGGGTGTCACTGAGAAATCCAAGAACTGCTTGTCACTTTACCTTCCCATGGACCATAGGCCTAGAAGGTGGGCCAAGGAGAAAGTCAGTCTGGAGACTGGTGTGGCTTCAGTGTGGACAGGTGGGGACTGCGACCACCCCAGAGGCAGAGGGACAGTCTTATCTGTGGGGGATCTCTATATGTTGAAGACAGTGTGTAACTCAGGAGGCTGAAACCGTATTTTAGCAGGAAGGGATTTAATGCTGAGAGGTGGGTGCCCAAGGAAGCATTGGAAGGGACACGAGCAGGCTGGAAGTTGGCAGTCCAGAAGTGACGCAGAGTGAATGCAGAACTTGTCCGTGAGGGGCTGTTCCCTCTGAGACACCGAGGCTGCAGCCATGACGTCTTGGTGTCACTTCCACGGCGCAGCCTCTGTCTCCACAGTGCCTTGGAAGGTGGAATGTGGACATGGAGTAGTCTGCAGGACAAAAGACCTCATGTTTCATGACCCAACTTGCTGGCAAAAAACAAAGGTGACCTCCACCACTCTCCATTTATCAGATCTCCTGCAGCTGTGATGTAATGGTAAAATCTGATTTTCATCCAGAACTTAGCTGCAAGAGTCTGGGAAAAGTGGCTTTCAGTTTTCCCCTTCTCCCATGAAGATAGTGAAATGGACAGTGAATGAGCCGATCCCATGATCCAGGCCTGCAAGTTTATCGGTTTTGCATTTTTAATGCGCCAAGTTGTAAGAGGCACAAAGTAGAAGAATGAAGCACAGCAACAGTGGATGAGACTTCATGGTTTCCTGAGCTCCCTCTTGGATTTCCCCGTTGCAACTGGGAGGTGCCACTTAGAGCTCCAGCAGCCACACTTGCACTTGGTCTTGACCATGGCCACAGGAGGGAAGAGGGGTTGCAAGCCCATGGACTGGGCCCACACTTTAGTCTCCTATGCTGGTGGTTCCATGAAGCCTGCCCCTTAGATCAGAAGGACCCGCACAGGATGGTGGGTCTCTGAGCCTGCCTCCTGGCGTTGTAATGCTAATTATAACATTAAAATAGATTTGGGGAGAATTCAAGTGGACGCTTATTATCAAGGGAAGATTTTGTAAAAAGAGCAATTCACGATTCGATTGTTGCTCCTTCCTGGATTCTACAAGTTCCACCAAAGAGTCCTGGCTTTTCAGCCTAATGCCTCAGCACTGGGCCTCTGAACATGATGAGCATTTTCTGCGCAGATGTAGGACGAGGTGCAGAACGGAAAGCTTGGCTACCTCTGGTATGCTGCTTTCTGTCTTTTGAGGACCTGCAGGCTCGAGGCTGGCTGTTGTGGGGAAAGCAGAGATGAGAAAGGTATCGTTCCTGGCCTGAAGAGGAATAGACTGCTTGGGAAGATGAGACATATTCTTGCTGGAGGAGAGAGTAATAAGGGACCTTGGGCCAGAAAGGTGAAACATATAGTCTTCCTCTCTCACACACCAACTTTCTATTGACAGCCACTGTTAGCAGGACAGCCAGAAAGAAGAGATTATTTTCTTTGCAGAGGGATCTGGGAAGGCTTCTGGGAAGAGGTGGCACTGGAACTGAGTCCTGGAGGATGACTGGGATTTGTATTGGCAGAAGCTGAGAGCTGCTTCATTCTCACGAGGAGGTGGAGACAGGCTGAACTTGGGAACAAGTGCAGCTTCCCATGGTCTAGTGGTCCTGAGGAAAGGTAGAAATGGGACATTTAGCAGGGGTAAATAAGGATCTGGAGCTTGAAGGTCAAGTCCAGCCAGGTTCTCCAGACCTCTGTCCACCTCCTCACCATACTGACTGGTACAGGGGCACCAGTTAAATCACTGAACCCAGATACATTTATGAAATGACAGAACTGTAACATCAAAATAACTGTCAAATAAAGCTCCTTCAAGATCCCATCTGATTGTTTTGTTTGAAAAATAAATGCAAGCATCCTTTGCCCTTGAGGAGAGAAGCTCTTAAAGCTCTGAGGACGACTGAACTAAGTTTTTGGAGCTAAGTAACCTGAAGGCTGCCTCTCGCTAACAGGCCTCAGCTGAGAAGAGGAATGGAGGTCTTTTTCCTGCCGGAAGAATCTCGCTGCAAATCCAGGGCAGAGATGGCGGGGACAGCCAGGGCTTAGTGCTCAAGGATGAGTGTCAGCTGCACAGGCACAGCGGAGCCTCGCCCCTGCTGGGGTCCCCGTCTCTCAGGCAAAGAGGACGAGGTCTGTGGCCTGGTCTGTTCTTGGCTTTGTCTCTATAGCCCGCACATGCACAAAGTCACCCAGTATTTGTCTTTCTTCTTCTGACTTTTTCCCATTTAGCAGAACCCCCCAAGATCCTTTTATGCTGTCATAAATGGCACGCGTGGCTGAGTCGTATTTCGCGGCTGTGTACCCGCCTACCTTATCTGCCCATGCGCTGCTGGGCACTTGGGTGTCGTCTGTGTTGTGCTGTTGTGAACAGTGCTAAGTACGCATAGGGATATATTCAAATGAGCATCTTCATAGTCGGTGGCTACATCCCCAGACGTGGAATGGCTGGGTCATAGATCTACTGCTATTCCCTAGTTCTAGTTTTAATTTGTTGAGAAACCTCCATACTGTTTTCCACAGAAGGGGGTAGAGCAGGTAAGCGGTGGGCGATGATTAGACCTTTGGTGGTGGGTGTGGTGTGTGTATACCTTTGTCGAGGTGTGGAACTGTGTGCTAAAACTTATATAGTCTTGTAAACTGATGTTAACTCAATTAAAATAAACAGGCGGCGGCAGGCGGGCTGGACTGGAGCCTGTTGGTGCAATGCTGGCGCCCAGCTGCTCCTGCTGAAGCTGAGTGCTTGGGAGACAGTCCCCCCGCTTGCAGAGAGGGACCCAAAGAAGTCGCTTCAACCCTTTCCTCTGCATCCCACTGGTCGGGAGACAGTCCCCCTGCTTGCAGAGAGGGACCCAGAGATGCAGTCTGAATTCTGGAGGGCAGGCTGGAGCCCCATTTCCATGTGTTCCTTCCTTCCTTGGCCACCTGAGGGCCTCACATCCTGCTCTGGCCCATGTCAGGAATCCTCCTTGACAGATTTCTGTGCACTGGGACAGAGCAGGGTATCTGTGAGGAGAAGGATCAAGTCCCCTCCATGCCTCCAGCCTGATGGGTCAGGGTGGTCACCCCCCCGCAGCCTTTCTAAGAGCATGTGCTGAAAGGGGTCTCTTCTGCCCTGCGGGGAACAACCCAACTAGGCCTGACCCCTCTTTCTGCTGCCCCACAGGCCCTTCATGCTGCTGCCGCCCCTGATGGAGTGGATGCGCGTGGCCATCACCTATGCTGAGCACCGCCGCAGCCTCACCGTGGACAGCGGCGACATCCGGCAGGCGGCTCGGCTGCTACTGCCCGGCCTGGACTGCGAGCCCCGGCAGCTCAAGTATGGAGGGGTGAGGCGGGAGGGCCGCTTGTGGCCAGGCCCGCTGCTCCCTCCTTCTCCTGAAGGTTGGGCAGGGGTCAGCGGGAGGTGGGGGAGGTGGCGGCGGTGGCGGGGGCCATAGCGCAGTGGGCTGCTCTGCAGGCTGATTTGTCCGGAGCGAGACATTTCCCAGTTGCATCTGAGCAGCGCCAGTCTGGTACAGGGCAGACACTCTCACGGAGGTTTTGGGGCGCGGGTATGTGCAGTGTGGACCACCCCTCTCCTCTCAGTTTTGCTAGTATCCTGAGCACTTCTACACGAGTGCTGGCTAAGTACTTTCTGTGAGAGCCTCTGTGGAGGTGATGCCAGGCCTGTGCTACAATGGGGAGGCTGAGGGCCAGGACAGTTACTTGCCCACAGATATTCTGCTAGCAAGTGGTCACACCGAATTTGAGCCCAGGTCCACGTGACCTCAGGTCCACGTGTAGGCTCTTCATTTCCTTCCCAGAATGCCTCTCTTGTGTTGGGCTGACCAGAAGTGGGCCCGTGAGAGCCTCACATCTTCCTTTGTTTTCTACCCCTTCCCACACCACAGTTAGGGCCTCCACTGTCTCTGTGGGAAATGGAGCCTCATCCTGGGACACAAACGTCTACACGTTGACCTACCTGTAGCTCCCCGCCAAAGGCGCGGCAGGAAGGCTGTGGTGCGTCCTCTGTAGGACTCCACAGTGCTCTCTGCGACTCCCCGTGGGCCGGCTTGCTTGCAGTTAGATTCTGGGCTTCTCTCCACTATTTCTTCAGTTCTTCGAGACCTCACCAGGAATCCTAGAGGACAGAAATGTGTGGCCAAGAACTGGCACTGAGCCACAATGCCCGTCCTCTGGGCCAAGTGCAGCCAGGCACAGCCACTGCTATGGCCCGAGCCAGGCCAGACCGTCCCCACCGAGGCAGACCTCTGGTGGGTCATTCAGACGGGTCTGTCTCCTGTGGCTAGTCCCTCCCACCACTCTGCGCCGACCCCTTGCCCGGCCAGTGCCAGTGTGGCATCTCGCTGGGAGGCAGTGTCCTAGCCGGAGTCCACGTCCAGTCGCGCTCACCCACCTGGGTCTCTCCTGCCAGACCCGAATGCTGTTTCAGCTCCTTCCGGCGGCTGGATGCCCGAGCGGCTACTGAGAAATTCAACCAGGACCTGGGTTTCCGCATGCTCAACTGCGGGAGGACGGACCTCATCAACCAGGCGATTGAGGCGCTGGGCCCCGATGGAGTGAACACCATGGACGACCAGGTACGTTCTGAGAGCCCACACTGCGGGCCGGGGGTGGGGCCAGTCAGGGGCTCGGGATTGCCAGGTGGGAAGTGCAGCGCTTTGTCCCCAGCCTGAGACCTGCTCCTAAGCAGCAGCCTGCCGTTCCACGTGGGGGTCCTGTGGAGACTTCCCTAGCCCCCCTTACAAACCATGGTAATGGGGAGCCTGCTTCCTCACTGGGAGGCTGTCCCAGATGGTGCAGGGCTGGGAGAATCCAGAGGATTCAGCCCATCTCAAGCTGTGGCTGATACTGGCTAGGACTTGCACGAGAGCGTCCTCTGTGCCTGCTCTGTGCCAGGCCCGACAGACCCTTGCCATCACAGCTCCCGTGCTAGTGGGGGAGACAGACATGAGGAAACAAGCATGCAAAATCTCGAGTACGCCTTTAGATGTGTTAAAGAATAAACGCCAGAGAGGGGGGTGGGGGTATTGGAGTGATACGTGATTTTAGAAATCGAGGTTTCACTTGAATTTTTTGTTGGCTGTTTGTGCTGTGAAGCCTGGCATGAGCAGTCAGTGTGCCAGGCGTTGTCCCGAGCACTTTGCAGAGTAACGCATCTGATCTCCACAGCAGCCCTACGATGCAGGTGGTTACTACCCCATCTTACAGTGAGCAAACTGACGTGCAGTTGAGCAGTAGGAGCAGAGTAGGGCTAGGAGGAAGTAAGCAGCCTCATCTCCGACATGGGGGACAGTAGCTCCTGCCTAGCTTGTTGGGAGGCTTTCCTCTGGCGAATGTTCGGTAAATGCTCTTTCTGGGGTTTGCTGCTGCTGTGATGCTTTTGATCCCTGAAATCTGTTCATCAGCCTTCTTTGACTTAGCCTCTTAATGGACCCGGACTCGAGATGGGGCCGTAGGGGTAAAAGTACTTTCTCCTCACAAGGCTCAGAGCCAGGTTTAAACACTGGATTGTGTGCAGATGTGTGGAGAAAAAAAGTGTAGCGTGTGCAGAGGGGAACAGCGAAGCCAAAAGCTCCTGCTCTGGCGGTTGGCTTTGCTCTAAGCGCACGGTCCTGTTTGCTCCTCAGCCTCGCTGCTTACAGAGTAATGTGTGGGTAAACAGGCCACTCACCGATGATTAATCAGGCCATTTCTTTATCTCGGGGCACTATGCAAGGATTTATGAGGTAAGGAGATCTTGTCTACACACAAATAACCTAATAAATAACATCGCGGGGCTCCAGACGCATGCTTGCCAGGACCCAGCTGTGGAATAACACTTTCCACGGCTGCCCGAGCTGACACTGGCCACAGAGAGGCAGTCCCATTAGCCGCCCACCTAAACTGCCCTCAGGGAAGGGCTGGATCTCAGCTTTTGGAAAAGCTCTGACTGGCCCGGTAGAATAAGATGTCAAAGTCTGACACTCCTCCACCCTCCACGAGATGCCCCCAAGGCTGGAGTTCACTGCTTAGGAAGACCTGGGTGCAGTGGGATTGCTCTGGCTTGCTGCGTGACCTTGGATAAGTTAACTCCCTGTTTGTTCCTCATGGGGCATAACTGGGGTAACAGTGGGCCTCTGAGTAGGGAAGTTATGGTGGTTAAATATGAGACGGCGCATGGAAATCACTTCTCTGGGTCTGGGATGTGGCCGCGTGGAGGTACAGAACACAGTAGCTGTTGGTGTTCGCCTTTATTAGTGAGACCAAGCTGGTTCTGTCCTACGCATTTACACATAGGAACGCAGACGCATGACAACCAGTACAGTAAATACTGCTTGTCTTTCCTCATCAAGGATAAACTGAGGCAGAGAAGTGTAAGGAATGTATACAAAGTTTACAGGTTCCCCGGGCAGAGGTGCCTGTGCTCCGCACACCTGAGCCCTGCAGTGCCGAGGAAATGTTGCCTTCCACCATTGAGGTGTCGGATGTGGGGGGGAGGATCCAGGGTCCCTCAGGGGAACAGCCGGTCGAGCAGGGGACAGAGGCCGATGGCATAGGTGTCACTGTGGTTTCCGGCTTGTGGTCCACCAGGGTATGACGCCGCTGATGTACGCCTGTGCTGCTGGGGATGAAGCGATGGTTCAGATGCTGATTGATGCCGGGGCGAACTTGGACATCCAGGTGAGGGAGTGTCCGTTGTCCATGTCGGTGCAATGTTTGGACACTAGATGTTTCAGAAGACAGGAAATAAGATGCACAGAAATGACATTTAGCAAAGAGGATCTTTCCTTAAGATTTGGGCTTGTTTGTCTCACAGGTGAGCTGAGGGAAGGGGAGAGGAGAGAAGAGAGAGGGTGGCCACCATGAAGTCACTATAGTACCTTTCCCCTTCACCAACCTAATTCCCACCTAATTCCCAGCCATGCCGCCCCTCCCTTCTCTGTCGTAGAAGATGCTCCTGGCAGACATGACCAATCAAATGTAGAAAACACTTAGTCACCATCCCTGCGGGGCGGGGGGTATCCTCCTAACTCGGGTGCCTGTCACTGTCCAGGGCTGTTGCTCACCTGGGAAACACTGATCACTTGTGGTATTGACAGGTTCCAAGCAACTCTCCCAGGCATCCCTCCATCCACCCTGACAGCCGACACTGGACATCACTGACATTCGCTGTACTGCATGGACACATCTCTGTGGTGCAGGTGAGCTCCTGGCCTTTGTGCAACATGCCCCAGCTTTCCAGAGGGGCTGAGCCCCAAGGTCATGTGAAAACAGAGATGCCAGAAACAGAAGTACAGGCTGGCTCACCTGTCAGCAGGGCAGAGACGCACCTGGTTTGCCTCAGGAGGGGCATGTATAAGGGCACATGTGGGATGTTAGAGGGCAAGCCCCAGGTGCAAGCAGTACGGGGTGCCAAGAGACCCCCCTGGCATCTCTGTGCATGCTAAAATCTGTGCAAGTGTGGACAGAGCCCGGGCCACACTGCCACTCTACCCCAGACTCCCTTGCTCCTTGGGCCACAGGGTTTTCATCCCGTTTGGGGAATCCACATAACACCTTCGCTGTCCACTTGACTGAGTCCTCTGAGAGCAGGGGTCAGCCAGCTCTACCCATCATGTCAGCGAGCCCTGCTCGAGGCCGGGGCTTGTCAGGAGAGGGTTTCCGTGTAGGCCCACACCAGCCCGCTTTTTAGCTACTGCCCTCCTAAGAATCTGCCCAGCCCAGACGAGCCTGCGGGGCTGTACCCGGACCTGCCTGGATGGGTGCCCAGTTTCAGCCTGTGGGCAGGTCTCCAGTCAGCCACTTTGGCACATGGGCAGTGGTGCCATAGCTGGTTTCTAATTGCCAAGTGCCTCCCCTGATAGCATCCCCCACCCCACCCACTGTAGGGAGTGTGAGGGAGGCTTACATGGACCCCTCACGCCAGGTCTCTGGGTGAGGGGCAGATGGGTTTCCCAGAGATGCCAAGTACGGACTAGGGCCTGCCTGAGCTCCAGAAACCTGGGCGAGCTGGAAGGTAGTTTGTCCAGAGCAGCCAGTCTGGAGAGGTGAGACGGAAATTCACCTACCTTGCAGACACCGCCCGGCCCCAAGGCACAGTCAGCCCAGCTCAGCTGGGACTGCGAGTGTGAAGCCTGCCCTTGCCAGAATGGGAGCGGCCACCCCATTACTGGCCAGTCTGGGTCGTGTGCAAACCTTTCTGATGGGAACCCTAAAAAGCCAGTTATTGAGTCCCTGTGGGGAGTTGAGCACCATTTCATTGAATTCCCACTAGTGCTGCAAGGCAGGCCTCTCCCATTTTCCAGGTGAGCAGGACTGAGGCTCAGGAAGCTGAGGCACCTACTCGGGGTGCGCCCTGGCCAGCACTGGCCCTCAGCCATTCTGACCGTAGCCCGCGCGCTGCCTCCCAGAGCCTCAGTTCCCCCAGTAAGTCAGAGATGCTAGTTCCTGCTCTGCTCATCTACATGAACCCTTACAAGGGTCACCGCAGCCAGTTCACGGGAGAGCACTGGAAAGAAACAGCCCCGAGTCCCGAGCAGCTCAGGGGCTTGCCCACAGCCACAAGAGTGGCGGTGCTGGCCCACGACCGCCTGCGTGAGCCAGGTCTTGGTCACAAATCTGGAGAACGCTAAGCCCTACACCCTCCCCCACATGTCGCTGCCACTCCAGTGTCCTCCTCTGTGCCCCACAGTTGCTGCTGGACGCGGGGGCCCACGTGGAGGGCTCAGCCGTGAGCGGTGGCGAGGACAGCTATGCGGAGACGCCGCTGCAGCTCGCCTCTGCGGCTGGTAGGTACCAGTGCCCGCGCCGGCTCTGCCGCCCCCTCCCCGGGGCCACCCGGCCTGCACACCTGGCCCTAAGCCTAGAACCCTGACACCAGCCCTAAAGCCCCTGCTTTTGGGCTCCCGGCTGAAGAGCTTCCCTTGCTCCATCCACCGCGTTTTTGCTGGGCCCAGCACCCCGGCAGGTCCCTGCAGAAGGCGTGGTGACAGCATGCTCCGCCCACCTTGTCTTCTAGGGAACTACGAGCTGGTCAGTTTGTTGCTGAGCCGAGGTGCTGACCCCCTCCTCAGCATGCTGGAAGCCAACGGCATGGCCTCCTCCCTCCATGAGGAGATGAACTGCTTCAGCCACTCAGCCGCCCACGGCCACAGGTACCTGTTTGGGCTTGCTGCCCCATGGATGTGGGGGCACAAGACAGGCTCTCGGGAGCCCCAGCTCCCCAACAGGGAGCAGAAGAACTAGGCTTGGAGGGGAGGGGAAACACAAATGCTCAACCAGCGCCTGATGGAGACCAGCGACTAGAGTCCTGGTCTCAACGTGCACACAGGGTAGGACAGGCGCCCCCGCAGGCAGCCTCCTGCCTTCCCGTGCTCAGTGCTGGCTCTCAGGGCCTCCATACGGGATATGGCCCCTGGAGTGTGGACAGGAGTCAGGTCCCGTCCAAGAGTGCATGGTAGAGCGCCCTGCGGGGGCCAGGACTGCTCAGGAGCAGCAGCAGGCAGCGCCGGAGACAGATGCCACAAGGCCGAGCAGGCCAGTGGAGGGCAGGGGCCGGCCTCCCGCCTCGGAGCCACTCTGCTCAAGCATTTTCCTCCTTATTTTGGCTGACCCTGTGCCCACACACATCCACTCAAAGTGGCCTCCCTTAAGTCCCCTTCAAGAGGTCGCCTGCCCGCTCATCTGCTTCCCTCAGAGCATGGGTCCTTGGGACAGCACAGCTCACCTTCACATACCTGAGACGCTCTGGAAACTCACCTGGCGAGCAGAGCTACAGCTGGCCCCGACGGGGTCTCTGGGCCTTGAGGTTGGTGTCACCCCACGTCTCACCCTGGGCAGGACAGGGCTCCAGCCACCCGGCCCTAGGTCAAGGACATGGGGTTTGGAGCCAAAGTCCTTGGGCCTGCGCCCACTCTCCCCATGTGACCTTGACCAAGACACCGATCACCTGCAAGTGGTGATGTTTAGGGGTCCCACAGGGTTCCAGCGCCTATGTGACATGCTCCCTCTCGTCAGCCTTAGCGGAAGGAAGGGGAATGTGTCCTGTGTTTCCAAGCTGCACACATACCAGGTCAGCAGCTGTTAGGCCTGCTGTATAGCAGGCTCTGAATTTGGTGCAGTCACACTGGCCTCATAAACCCCAGGAACGGGCAGCGCTGGGCCCGGTTCGAGATGACAAGCAGGCCTCAGCACGTAGGGTAGCAGAGCCTGCGCCTCCTCCCTCAGCAGCACCTGGAAAGGGACCCTGCGCCCTCCGGTGCCAGGTCTCGCTGGGCGGGGCAGGCCGTGAGGGCTCTGTGTCCCCAGATGCCTCAGCCACCCAGCAGGGCCACAGGTGCTGGAAGGCAGATCAGGAGGGGACTGACCCCAGGCACCGCCCACAGGAACGTCCTGAGGAAGCTCCTGACACAGCCACAGCAGGCCAAAGCAGACGTGCTGTCCCTGGAGGAGATCCTGGCCGAGGGCGTGGAGGAGAGCGATGCGTCGAGCCAGGGCAGCGGCGGCGAGGGGCCCGTGCGGCTGAGCCGGGCGCGCACGAAAGCCCTGCAGGAGGCCATGTACTACAGCGCAGAGCATGGCTACGTGGACATCACCATGGAGCTTCGGACGCTGGGTGAGGCCTCACGGGCACGCGCGCACACTGCTGCTCTTCAGCAGGCCGGAGGGGGCCGAAGGGCCACAGGCAGACAGCACCGCGCGGGCCGTTCTACCCAGGCCTGGCGCTGACGACTGGCAGTGGCAGGCCTGCAGCTTGGCCAGGACAGGCAGTGCCCCGAGCCGGAACACCCCAGCCCTCGTCCCTAGGGCCCTGGGCCAGCCTCGCTCACTGGCTGGACCGGGCAGGGCAGGCAGCCTGGGTGAGGCGGCCCCAGCTCTGCGCATAGCCATTACTTCCCTGAGAACACGGTCATGAAAGCGCAGGCCCAGGCTGGCTCCCGCAGAGCGCCCAGTGCCGGCGCCCGCAGACCAGAGCTGGCTGTGAGCACACTGCAGGCCTCCCAAGCACCCCCGCATGCCTCATACACCAGTGTGCTGGCGCCACCTGCATCGTCCTGTCCCTGGGGAATGCCGCTGGGTCGCTTCTTTAATCCACAGCGAGGCTAGGGGTGAGAAGCAATAATTACCAGGGACATTACTAGTTTTTGTCAAGTCCTTCACAGCAGGTTTAAATGGTGCTCTGGCCCCACTGACACACTCCAGGGAGCTGGTAAACAGTAATTACGCCACTGGATGGCCACTAGCTCCCAGTGACCCGAGTGCAGCAAGCCTCAGTGACAGGACTGGGTTCACTGGGGGTTCTAGACAGGCATGAGGCCCGTGAGGACTGGGGCCTCCACGTCCACCTGGCCACCCCCTGTAATCCATGGATCTTCCCCAGGGAGCAACTGCAGGGCCCAAAAAGCAGTAGGGCCAGGGCAGGTGCTGGGTGACACCTGACCCCCCAGGCTGGGCTCCCTGCACTAGACCAGCCATTCCCGTGCCTCCCCCCACCCCCTGCAGACACCCGGTATGTTTAAAGGGGATCAGTGTAGGCCAAGGCTAAGAGCGAGCGCGGCCTCTCCCCCAGGGGTGCCCTGGAAGCTGCACGTCTGGGTCGAGTCTCTGCGGACCTCCTTCTCCCAGTCCCGGTACTCCATGATGCAGAGCCTCCTGCGGGACTTCGGCTCCATCAAGGAGGAGGAGTACAACGAGGAACTGGTGACCGAGGGCCTGCCGCTCCTCTTCGACATCCTCAAGACCAGCAAGGTGAGTGCTGCCGGGCAGGGCCCTGCCTGACCCCAGCCACACCTCCCAACGGAGGTGGGTGCCCCCCCCCAGACCTGGGCCGCCTGGCGGCCGAGGGCAGAGCCATGGTTTTCCTGGGCTGGAGTCTGGCCAAAAGAGCAATTTGGGGATTCACTGATAAAGCAACAGGCCAGCTCTGGCCAAGCCTCATCCAGGAGTAATAAAAGACCAAGGCCACTCTCATCCTGGCCTCAACTTTTTACATTAGTCTGAAGTAGCCGTAGTGGGCGGCCCCCTAAACCTGCCCTCTCTCCCTGCAGAACGACTCTGTCATCCAGCAGCTGGCTGCCATCTTCACACACTGCTACGGCAGCAGCCCCATCCCCAGCATCCCGGAGATCCGCAGGACCCTGCCGGCCAGACTAGGTGAAGGGCTGCCCCAGCTGCGTCCGTGCCCATTTCCAAGTGCCCAGCTCGGCCTCAGCTTCTCTGGTCCTCACCTCTGCGTCCTCCCCAGCTCAGTTAAATGCCGAGAGGTGGACTACTCACTCATTTCCATTCTCCCCTTTTGGCACAGATCCTCACTTTTTAAACAACAAAGAGATGTCAGACGTGACCTTCCTGGTGGAAGGAAAGCTGTTCTATGCACACAAAGTCCTGCTGGTGACGGCCTCTAACAGGTAGGTGCCGGGGCGGGGCAGCTGCTGCCAGAGGACAGACTGCTGGAGAAGGGTCCGGGCAGGGGGCACCCTGGGGTGCTGTACAGCCTGTGCCCCCGCCAGCTCCAAGTCAGAGCAGAAGGCAAATCAACAGTGGGGCTGGGCCTGGAGACGGAGCTCTCTGCTCAGTACTTGCGAATATTAGGAAAACATCAGTGTTCTGGAATGAAGCTGGTGTCCAGCCCCAGGACCCCGCAGCTTCCCTCCCGGAGGGTTACTGTGCTGGGAGCGTGGCAGCCCCACCCCCCGCTGAGCAGTCTAAGAGCTGGACAGCACCAGACCCACACGGGGCTGGAGGCGGCGCATACAAGACCGACCTCACTTCACCTTGTTTGCTCCAGGTTCAAGACGCTGATGACCAATAAATCAGAACAGGATGGCGACAGCAGCAAGACCATTGAGATCAGTGACATGAAATACCACATCTTTCAGGTAGGTCTTAGCGCTGCACGAACTCTGTCCCGATGCCATCTGCGTTACGGGGTGTCAGTCATTAGATTACAGAGGCCAGGTTTTCCCTGTGCAAAGGTGCTGCTCTGGGTGCGTGCGGGCACCGTGTAGTAAGTACCTGTGTCTCGAGTCCGAAGCTCAAGCCCTGGTCGGGGGCGTGTGGGCCTTTGCTGCTCAGGTTGGGCTCCCAGGGGCACTGACCTATCTGAGGATCTTTTGAAGCGCAGACGCTCAGGTAGGGTGTGGGCAGCGTCACTCCTCCCCACTAGGAGGCCAAGCGATGAGCCCATCCTAGGGTAGAAAGCCAAGGTCAGGTCTTGCATGCTCTAGACACACCAGAGGCTGTGTGACGGAGATCTGCAGAGGGCCTGGGGGAAATGGCTGGGAGCACCTCCGCCTCCTTGCAAAGCGAGGGCTACAGGGATCCGCCTGAGGCTGGACCAAGAGGCCGCTGGTGTGTGGGTCCAGAGCCTAAGGGGAGAGCGCACAGGGCCTCAGATGCACAAGGAGTCGCATCTATAATGGCCTGGTTCCTGTCACGCTCCCTATATTGTGGGGACAGAAGTAAACAGGACTGTGAAACAGTGACAGGCATGGGGGAGCAGCACCGAGTGCAGAAAAGTCAGGGTATCTACAAAGTGCGGGGAGGAAGTCGCTTCCCGCAGGCGTCAGGGGCCAAGGCAGTGGCCAGCTACCCAGACCAGTGCACACAAACCCCAGGTAGCCAGAGCCCATGAGATGCCCCTCGGGCCTGGGCCACCATTCAGACAATATCCAGAAAGGCGTATTTAGCTGCCCCAAGGAGCCATAGCACGAGGCTTGGACTCTAACTAACACTAGTCCAGACTGGCTCCAAGTGCTCTAGTTTCACAGTACTGTCCTGGGGGGGGAATGGCGTCAGAAGAACAGAGACGCTGAGTCACTTACCCAAAGTCACACAGCTGGGAAGGCCGAGCTTGCATTTACAAAGTTCATTTGCGAGTGTGAAGAAGGGATGGGGGGCGTCACTGCAGTCAGGGAGCCAGGTCAGGCGGCTGGAGGACTCCAGCTGAAGACCTGCAGTGACTGTGGAATGGAGGGGCGAGCAGCTGGGACTTGGTGACTAAGGAGGGGGCAGGAATAGAGTCTCCCCTCGATTCAAATTCACTGGGGAAGGGCACGGAACTCGAAGCTTATTTGTTTAAGAAGCCCAAAGTCCAGGTGAGGTGAGGTCACAGTCAGACACAGGACGTGGGGGTGAGGGCTCAGCTGTGTCTGCTGCTTACCAGTCGTGGTCATCCCGAGACGTCTCAGGGTGCCTGGGCCTTCTCCCCGGGTTCTCTGGTCACAGGACTGCCATCCAGGGACCCTCAAAGCAGTTGGCATCTCCCACCCCTGGGCTCCCGGAGGGTCTGCCTGAGGCCATCTCCCCAAAGCTGCGCATTTCAGAGCAGCCCCAGTATCTCATTGCCTGCCAGTCCTGCGTTAAAAGGGGCCCGAGCAGCGCCATTGATAGGGAGATAACACAAGCCACATGTAATTCATCATTTCCTACTAGCCACATAGGAAAGCAAAAAAGAAAACAGGTAAAAATATTTCAACATTAAGAATTTTACATTCTCTTTCACTAAGTTTACCTAGTGTGTGTGTTGGCACAGCACCTGAGTCTAGACTGCCACCGCCAGGTCCAGATACCTGCCAAGGTCACCTGGGGGACTCCTGGCATTCTGACAGGGCTTCCGAGCCGGTCCCTGCACACCCCCTAGTTTCCTGGTGGCCCACTGAGGGCAAGAGGAAGCCCTGCTGCTCCACCGCTGCCCGTTTTGGGAGTGGGGAGCTCCCAGGAGCAGCCCCACAGCTACCTGCTACGGAGCCAAAAGACGCACCTAGGCCTGAACACAGCCAGGCTATGCAGAACCAACCCCTCCGCAAGGGTCCAGGGGAGCAGTTCTGTCTCACTTCTGCGCTTCCAGGTGACCTCAGGGGGACCCACCGTCCATAGGGGGTGGGAGCTGTCAAAACTAGCTTGGGAAACGGAGCAGGACAGGAGGCTGCTGAGGCCATCCGGAGCGTAGAAGCCAGCCCGCGCTCTGCCCCTGGGCGAGGGGCCAGATGCGTGTAACTCTAAGGCCTTCAGCCCCGGGAGAGCCTGCTCTTCTGGAGGGGTGGCCGAGCCATCTCCCAGTCTTGCCCCCAACCCACCCCCCGAAGCTGGGCTTTTTCCTAGACCCCACCCCCACATGGAGCCCTATGGCCAACATGAGAATGGGAGGTGGGCGGCAGAGGGGAGCCAATTAGATGTCCCCTGAGCAGCCCAACCCCATAGTCAAGATTTTGGCAAAAGGAGAAATAAATGGAGTGGGACTGGTGCGGTCAGAATGCTTTGCGTGTCACCTCAGAGAGCTGGGGTACCTGCAGCTGGCACACGCAGAGGGAGGGGGGCCGAGTGGCCCTGCTTGGCACTCACCTGGGCCTCCTCCCGCTGCAGATGATGATGCAGTATCTGTACTACGGAGGAACGGAGTCCATGGACATCCCTACTGCCGACATCCTAGAGGTGAGGAGCAGGGTGGGTGCCAGTCCCCAAGTGCCCGCGTCTCTCCATCTGGAGACATCTGCCAGGTCTCAACCCTGCAATCAGGAGCACAGAACCTGTGTGAGCTTGGGGGTGGGGCTGCTGCAGCACCTCCTGGCTGGTCCTCTCCGAGAGACTGGGAATTGTCTATCCAGAGTCTAATCTCTAGGGCCACACCAGGGATCAGAAAGGGACGGCTGCTGGGCCCTCCACTTACACGTGAGCACGCAGCCAGTGCCTGCAGCTGCCTCCTGAGTTTCCCAGCAAACACCTGGATGGCCTGGAGCACAGACAGGTCAAGGCTGCTAGACTTGACCGGCGGGTGGGCAGGCCCCTGAGGGTCTGCAGGAAAGCTAAGGCCACAGGCCTGAGTGCATACCCAAAGCTGCCTTTGTCACCCGCCAGCTGCTGTCCGCTGCCAGCCTGTTCCAGCTGGATGCCCTGCAGAGGCACTGCGAGATCCTGTGCTCCCAGACCCTCAGCGTAGAGGGCGCTGTGAACACCTACAAGTATGCCAAGGTGAGCAGGCACACCCTCCCACCCTTTCTGCTACCTCACTGTCAAGGCCGGTGGATCCCAATTCACCCCCAGGCTGGGTCGGGGAACTGAGGCAAATGGCTAAATCTGAGTCCCATCGGTTCCAGTCTTACTTGATTTTCTCTCACATCCCCCCCACAGTTTTCCCCACCTTAGTAAACAGCCATTATCTGTTTAGACTCAAAACTAAGGAATTTTTTCTTGTAAATCTTTTGGGGTTGGGGGAGGTAATAGGGGGATGGGAGGCTTTAAATGAAGCCCTACTAGGCTAGGGTCTCACCCCGTATCCCCACTTACCCCCACAGATCCACAACGCCCCAGAGCTGGCCCTGTTCTGTGAGGGCTTCTTCCTGAAGCACATGAAGGCCCTGCTGGAACAGGACTCCTTCCGGCAGCTCATCTACGGCCGCAGCAGCAAGGTGCAGGGCCTGGACCCGCTGCAGGACCTGCAGAGCACCCTGGCCAAGCGTGTGCACTCTGTGTACATCACCTCCCGGGTGTGAGGTGTGGGCTGGTTGGTCAGCGTGCCCAGCGGGCTCCGGGCCAGGCCTCTGGCTCTAGGCATCCTCGGGGTGCGGAAGGCTGAGCAGGAGCTCCAGGCCAGACCCACAGGTTTCCGTTTCCCCGACCTTCGCAGGTGCTGCTCTGCCTTTGGGGTGGGCAGCCCCATAGCTAACGGTTCACCTGGAGAGGAGCAAAGGGCAGCCGTGGGTAAAAGGGGTTCCTTCTCCCCAGCTGGAGGTCAGCAGCTGCGAGGAAGAGCCTGGTGGCCTCGCTTGTGTTGTTGCTGCTGTTTTAGGGGCCAAAGCAGAGGGGTCGGTTTGAAAGCCCAGGCCTAGATTCGGGCCGCCTCAGTGGGCGCCGGGAGCAGAGTCCTAAGCCCCTCACGCCGCCACGCCAGGCCTCTCACACGAGTCCTCTATTTGGAGAGCGGTGTGCACACGTGTCATTAGGTCTTGGGGACCTAAGGGTGGGGCTGGGGGCCCTTCTGCTTTGTCCCCTCCCTACCTGCATTCAGTAGGCTCCGGCGCTCCTGGGGTGGAGACACAGCTCAGGTCCAGACACTGGGGAGCACTCCCGACAGCTCGCTCTGGGTGTAGCCTTCTCCAGCTGCCTGGCTGCACCTTAGAAGTTATTTATTCACCAAATGTCCCCAGAGAGTTCAGGCGGTGTCACTGTGATCACCTTGAAAAGCCCCTGGGGGCTTGCAATCCTGGAAAATATTTTCAACTAGCTGCTTGATTGAGCTGGATGTACAAAAGAAAAGGTGTTATTTTATTGCTGTAATGTTGTATGATACTGTAACTATACATTAATGTCACTTATTGTAAATCTACCATGGTTTTATTAACAATAAACACTCATTAACAATGCCCTTGGCCTTGCTGCTCCAGGGACAGGGATGCTCAGCTGGGAGGAGCCCATGGAGGACCAGAGAAACCCGGCGCTCGGGCCTTTGTTACTCGGGGCTCAGAGACACAGGGCCCCCGCCAGAAGCTCCCCTCCTAGGACCTGAGCCTGGGGGTCCCACCCCAACAACTGCATGGCGGGGCAGCTATGCGTAAAGTAGCTCCCCTTTGTTAAGCTACTTTTGTGCCACTTCGCTGGGCGGGCAGAAAAGGTGTCTGCGGCGGGACGGGGCCTGACAGCAAAGATGGGACAGCTGTTCACTTCTCTGACCTTTGACCCTGGTGTGGGAGCAGCTGTCTTAAGTTTGTAAAGCTTTGCACAGTCCAAAACTGTGGCCCAGGGAGTGGGGGTATCTGGGGTGGGGGGCTGTCCCTGGGCAGGGCCTGCATTGTGGCCCTGCTAAGTCAGAGTAGACTGTACCACCTGGTAGTGGAAGGACAGTGAGCCGGTGACTCAGGCTCAGAGGAGTTTTTCAGAACCTGATTGTGGTTTGTTTTAGGTATAAAATCCAGACTATGCCCTGGTTTTTTTAAAGGATCCTTGACTGAGGCAGAAGAGACATTCCTAAGGTCACTGGGAACACTGACCCACAGTAGCTGTGACTGACAAGTCAGGACTTGGGAGCTCAAGGACACAAAGACCTCACGTGGTCAGTCCCTGGAGAGGCCCTTGGCCTGGCTTTACTGGGTGGGACCCAGGCCCTGCAGCTAGAGGCCCAACCTGAGCCTGCCCCAGCGGGGAAGGGGTGTGCGTGGATCCACAGCGCCCCCTGGCGGCCGAGGGGAGGAGGCACGCAGTTCCGCTCCATCTCGGCAGAAGTTCCTGAGGGAGTCTGCAGCAGCCTAGTCCCCAAGTTGCTCCACCCCTGTAGGCCTAAAAGGCCAGATCTAGTTACCAGCTGGCTTCAGAGAAGGGGCCCAACAGTTTCCTCTCCCTTCAGGGACAGGCTAAAGGGAAGGAAGGAGGGAAAGGGGCCCTTTGAGCCGTGCAGTAGTGCACTTAACACTTAAATTGGAAAAACAAGTTGGGCTGTGATAGAACTGGGGTGTGTGACCCCTTACCTGGTAGTGACACCTCCTCCCAGTAGAGGCAAAGCGGCCATGTCTCCTCCAGCTGCCTTCTTTGGCCATTAGCCAGAGTAACATGGACTTCTGAGCAGGAATGCCTGGGGAGCAGGGGCTGAGGTGTCAGTTCTGTGCCCATAAAGTTCACTGTCCTCGTCCCTAAAGCCCCTCCAGAGAGGGGGCCCCGCATTCCTCTGGAGCTTCCCTTCTTTCTCCAAGAACCAGCTTGAGGCACCAAGAGAAAGCCTCAAGCCTTCTCCTTCCAGCTGCCCCCACTCCCTGGCAACTTCTCCCAGTTTGACGTCCAGAATACCTGTCAGGCCCGAGATGCCCCACCCCCTCCTCCAGACCCACCAGCGCACGCTGGGCTTGCTTACAGCCTCAGATAACAAGTCTACGTTTTCCCAAGGTGATGGTCACTTACTCCCCCTCCCCCAACCGCCTCGGCAGCCCCTGTGTCTTGCCTCCGGGTCGCCCAGAGTCCTCCAGGACCGCCGGGGCCAGAGGAGCAGCTGAAGCACCGAAGCAGGCCAGCCTCAGCCCCTCCCGGCTCGGAGGGATGGAGCCCATGTAGGAACCGTCTTTGTTCAGCGCCCTCCCCGGCCTGGTGGCAGCATTCATCACGTCTAGCTGAATTCATTTTGCAAGTGAGATTTCCTGAGAGCCGAGCTTTACAGATGTCACCCTGTCTGGGGCCCAGATGGTGAGGTCTGGGGGAGTCATGCTTTCTCAGGTTTGGAGGAGAACCCAAGATCACCACAAGTACAAGGGGCTGCCTAAGGACGAACATACTTTGCAACTGCAAGGCCAGGACTGTACATAGTAGGCAAAGTGTTTGCTTCCTTTTGCGTACAGAGCGGGCCTCCCAGAGAAGAGCCACCTGGCCAGAGTTTACTGGCTATCAGTGCTCCTCGGACGCGGGGCCGGCCAGGCCTGAGACAGTGCACACACCCTTTGCTGCGCACACGCCGCTGGCTCCCAGCTCTGGCGCGGTAACAGCCGGCCCTTGCTCCGGCTCAGGGTGACGCACATGCGCAGCTCCCCTCCCTGTGATCATGCCCGGAGCCAGAGATCTCCCGAGCACCAGCGACCTAGCCAGTACAAAAGCTCAGCTTCTCACCGGGCCCTGCAACAGGGGCTGCCCAAAGGGCAGGCAGGGGACAGTGAGGTGCCCAAGGTCAGAGGGTCAGGATGGAGTGAAAATCAAACCACGCACCTGGCGCCAGAGGTGCTGCACCAGGCCTTGGCCACACTGGCCACTTGAGCACCGGTGGGACCATGTGCCCAGACCACCCAGCTCTGACATGGGGTCTGCTTCTGCCACACTACGAAATTCCTCACTGAAAGACCTAGGCACTCACCTGAGAAACTGATGAATTATTTTAGTCTCTAGTCTCTTCTCAGACTTCCTGTGGACTTAACTCGGGTGTGGAGGCAGGAGCTGCAGATCCAGGGACACAGTCCCCAGAAAGCCCTCTGCTAGAGACGCACGGCAGATCTCGGCATGGCTGGCAATTTGCTCTCCTCTCACCGAGCCTGCGCCAGGAGTTAGGTGTTTGACCTCGTTGGTCCAGAAGCTCCCTTTCCTTCTCTGTCCTCACATTATGTTATCTCCCATTAAACGTCTGGGTGTACCACAGGCTAGGACCTAGGGAAGGGTCACCGTGGACTCAGAAAAGAGTAGTGATTTGAAAGCACCAGTAGCCAAGGCCACCACGTGAGTTCTTTAGATAAAAACCCCAGCAGAGAAGTGCCCCGCGGCCAGAGCCGTGAAAGGTGGTCACCAACTTACGCACAGCGGCAGGTTGAGGGGCAGGTCAGCCCAGGACACAGCTGAACCAGCTCCCACCTTGAGCTGTTCTCGCGCTTGACCGCGTGGATAAGGAACCATCTACAGGAGCCAACAGAGGGTCAAGGGTTCGTTAACGGTATAGGACCTGGGACTGGAAAGTGGACACTGTGCGGGATACCAAAGCACGTTTGAAGGCACCGGATGGTCTGTCCCCTGCAGACACCAGGGGCCAAACAACTTACAGGGAACAAGGCAGCAAGAGGCACAGAGGCTGGCATCCAGCTGCAAGCCCTTGGAACAATCCAGCATTCCACTGTGATCGGTGGCCAGTGCCTGTCACTCCCGCAGGCTCCGAGCTTGTAGGCTGCACTGCTCACCTTGGCCTGGATTCCCTCATCCGCCCAAGTGCAGACAACAAGCTCACCCCCACCCCCAACCCCCCCAAGAAACAGGGCGATAGGAAGCTAACGAGCATCCACAGTGAACAGGTCTGTCTAGGTCATTTATTAAAAATAGATTCACTATCCCTCTCTGGCCCCTGCTAGCAAAAGCTTTCCCAACATTTTTCCCCAAACGGAGTAATAAATTTAGAGGATTCAGACGTCACCTCTCTCCCGAGTTCAGAGCAGCGGGCTTATGGGGCAGTGAGGTGGCCCAGGGAGCGGGTCGGGGTGAAACAAGCGATGCCGATCCCAGCACTGCTGCCCGACTAGACTCCTGCTGCCCAGGCCTCGGGGTGGAGGACAAACCCATGACCAGAGGCCCAGGGCTGCCCGCACAGCCTCCCTGTCAGCATGGCTTCTACCCCAAGGAGCCAGAAATGCTGGGTCCAAAGGAAAATATGAACTCATCGGAAAGTGGGGTCTGGGCCGGGAAGCGGCACCCCGCGGTGCAAGAGTTCGCCCAAAGATCCAGTTCCAGGCCGACTCATTCGCAGGGGCGCCGCCAGGCCAGCGTGGCCGTAGACCGAACCCGCCAGGAGCCGGGCCGCCGGGCTCTGGCCGCCTGCAACAGGCCAGCGGCCCCGGCCGGCAGCCAGTTCGCAGAGCAGCAACTCAGGGGTCGGCGCCGAGGACCAAGTTTCTCTCGCTATTTCTTCCGCTTCAGTTTCATGTCTTTTTTGCTCTTCATATCTCTGTTTTTCCTTAACTTTTTGTTCTGCTTGGGTTCATTTTTGGCTTCTACCTTCCTTTTCTTGTCACTGGAGGAAGGAAAGCAGGAAAGAGAGAGAAAGGATAAGATATGTACAGGGGAAGCCCACGGGGAGTACAACTGGGATGGAAAAAGGCACCAAATGATGTAAAAATAAACTGTTACATTATTTTTAAAAAAAATATGCACAGGCCTGTAACATCTTTCAGACTGAGGTGTAAGCTTGCTTTACTCTGTCTGAAGGGTTTTCCACGGTCTGAAATGGGAGAACCCCCAGTCGACCAGGCGCTATGCTGGGGGAACCACAGGCCCGACTCAGTCCCTGCGCTGACCAAGCTTCACCAGCAGAACAAACCTGCATCGTACCACCTGGAAGCTGCGCTCTATCCTCTCCCCCATAACCTCCCCAACAACTGAGTGTCCTGAGACCCCCTCCCACCAGCCTCACCGCTCGGATTACCCTGCGAGCCGACCACGTTAGCCAGTGACCTTGCCCCTCATCAAAGGGGACAGTCCCTCACCAGAGCAGATGCCCGGGAAACCATCACAGTGCCTTCTGACCTGCTAGTGCCGTAATTTTCCTAAACAAGAACCCCAGGGAGTGACCGGGCTGTACACTTCAGTGGGCCGTCGCTGACCCGCTCGGGTCACTCAGAGACACTTTCCATTTCCCAGGTCAGATACCCCCCAGCTAGCTGGGGACTGCAGCGCCGTGTCAGAGGGCACTTGGGAAGCAAGGCAGCACAGACGCCGGAGCCATCAGGATGCCTCCTCGGTGGTCAGTGAGACCACGGAGACACCCGACAGCTGGGCCCCATGGCTCGCAGTCACAAAATTTTCTCTTCCAACATTTCCAACATAAACTCTTCGGGAAACTGTCAGTAACTATGACAACGCCAGGAATGCATCCTCCACACCACTGTGAGAGCCTCCTCTCCAGAGGCCCAGGGCAGGGAGGTCTCATTCGCTGCCCATGGGAAACCACAAGGAAGGTTCCAGCCCAAGGAACCAGTGAATATACAAGTGCGCCCCCTGCAGAGAGCAGCTGGCGGCCCAGGTAGTCACAGAATGGACAGCCAGGGTCCCCAAGGGCTCCCCAGGTGGCCGCGGTCAAAATTATTTCCCTAGAAATACTGTTGTTTGCCCTTTCCACTTTCATTCTCTCACACTCAGCTTTCCAGAGGCTTCCAGACATGCGATAGCACCACAGAGTGAAGGCAGAAGCAGACATCAGAATCCAGCTGCTTCCCATTAAGCCAAAAAGATTTGCAAGAATGTAAATGTGAAGCCATGCCACTCTCCTTGTTATTTTATGGGAAAAAGGATATTTTTTTAAACCTACGTTAAGTCCATAATTTTTAATTTTGGGTAAATTACACTGTATCTGAGGCTTTTCTTTCTAGTAAGAGAAAAACAGATAGACATAAACCACATTTAAAAAAAAAAGCCCTACAGGTCCTCAATGATTTTTATGATGGAAAGGGAGGCTAAGACCCAAAATCCTTTGAGAGCCACCAGCAAAGAGGAAGGAGTGTGCCCAGGTCTGACTGTAGCCCGGCCTCTCCCGGCAGTCGCTTCCGCGGGAGGCGACCTAACCCTTAGCGCCTCGGTCACCTCATCTTCAAGCAGCTCCCCTCTGTGCTGAGAAGCAGGGCAGTGACGAGAGCCCATGAGAAAAGCCGAGTCAGCGGCAGCTCCGGCCCGTTCTCTCCAGCCGTCCAGGTCAGGAGGAGCGCGGGGCCTCGGGGGCGGCCGGCCCGGCTCCACACGGAGACCGCAGCGAGAGCACGACGCTCGGTGGACAGCGCCCACACGCTCTGCTCTGCTCGCTCCGTGCCACGGCAAGTCCCAGACAGGCAGGCGGGTGGGCCAGGGGCCTCCCTCACCGGCATACAGCGCGTCCTCACCTTTTGAGGCTGATGATTGAGGCGTTCTGCCCAGCTTTGTTCAAAGCTTCGTTCCACTCCTCATCATCCCCACGGATTATGTATCTTTAAAAAAGAAAGAAAAGGAGAGGGGATCTTAAAGCCTGCTTGGAAGAGGGGCCTGCTTAAAAGAAAGTGTAAGACAGTGACAGCACCATCAGGTAAGTCCTGCCCCAAAAACCAACACAAAAGCGTTGGTCACCGAACGCAGAGGGCAGGGACCAGCACACAGCAGGGCTGAGCTCTGCAGGCAGAGGCTTGGCAGAACACCGAGGGCCACCAGGCCTGCCCGTGGGGGTCAGTGGTAAGCCGGTTCTGCACAGGACGCAGTCAGCCCGGCTGCCCTCCTGAGCGTACCCCAAAAGCCTCCTCATTTTGGTTGTTCCATCCCCAGTCAGGAGCCCGTTAGCCCTTGAGTTGGGCCTTGCCCCACTTCTTTGGGTCTAGCAGTCTCGACCAGTCCAGGTTTCGAAGGGCTGAGGGCGGAGCTCAAAACGCTGTGCAGAGTCCACCCTGTCCCCTTCACCTCACGTGTCCAACAGCCAACAGTGACCTGGCCTGCCCTGATGGGGCTGCAGTCGAGACCCAGCGCCCTCGGATTCTGGAGTCATCGTTCACACCCACAGGGCGGGGCCAGGCCGTCAGCTCAGCTCAGGGAACTAGGATTCTGAACAGAGCCAGGGCGCTGTCGGGTGGCTTGTTGGCAGCAGAATCTTTCTTCTAATAAATTCACAGGCAAAAAGCTCAACACAAAGAAGTGGCCATGAGAAGTGGACACTCATCACGCAGCCCCCTTCCACGGGGACGGAGGTGTGACCGGAACCCCAGGGCTCCAATGTGGCAGCGGTGATCTGGGGAACCGAATCCTCTGAGGTGGCGCAGACAGCGCAGTAGGCGTTTGAGGTCAGCGCCCGCAGGGCCTCCGGAAGGGATGAGGCTGCAGTCCCCAGGGCCCAGAAGCCAAGGCGGAGCCTTCCCTTCCCAGGAGTAGTGGAGGGGCCTTACTGGGAGAGGTCCATGTCCTTCAGCTTCCCCACTTCTTTCTTGTGTTTCTCCTGGAATTCCTTCGCTGCTTCCTCCTGCAGACAGGGCGGGTCAGAGTGAAGCCAGAGACAAACCACCGACGAGGGCACCCCGGGGAGCAGGTACTCCTGCTCGGGCCCCTCCTGCTCGAGGCAGCTCTATATTCTGTGCATATGCTGCACACGCGAATACAAACGCCCACTTGGGGAAGTCACGACGCCCAGGATGCCGCAGCGCGGCCGCATGTCCCTCAGGGGAGGCCCGAGTCGAGCCGACTCAGATGTGCTCGTGCACATGCGGCGCCCGGAGACATGGGAGCGACATGGGGGAGCCCCGAACACCTCCCAGATGTACACGAGCGCCCTGGACTGGTCCCAAAGGGGAGGAATGCGCATGTGCTCTCACAACCCCCCGGGAGCTACCAGGTCATCGCTCAGGGTCTTCATCGTGGGCTCCATCACCACATCCTTCACTGCCACCATCTGCGCCTCGATGGCCTTCTCCTGCACCTCGTTAAATAGCTAAAAAGACAAAGGCCAGAAGCAGCAGTGAAGCGGCAGCAGGGACTGGTCATCAGCTCCCAAGTTACTCGGCACATGGTCTCGTGTGGCTTAGGACACGTTACAGCAAGAGCAGCCAGGCGCAAACGCGGCAGGTGCCACACCCCGAGCAGTGGCACCTCCGGAACAGGAATCAGTACTGACGACGTGCAGGCCTACAGCAAACGGGCCGGACGCCAGCATCTACTCATCGCGGGGAGGGAGCAGGTGTGTTAGTTGCTCCCGCAGAACCCCGCCCCGGCTAGGTTTTACCTTCACGACTTTGCGGATGATCCGGTTGAAAAGTCCCATCAGCTGTCCCGAAGGCAGCTCGATCTCCTTTTCCAGCTGGTCAACAGATTTGTGCTGCAGGCCAATCCCCAAGAGAAGAGCCTGGGAGACAGAAGACCTGCTGGCGGGGCCCCAGGGCGGGCCCACCCCCGTTGAAATGGTGCACAACCCGGAGTTTTCTGACCAAAGCGATCTTGTACAAATAAATGTCAACAGGCAATGTCTATTCTGGAATCTTCTTCATCCAGTTACTAAAACCATCAAGAAACTGAAATCTGCAAGCTGTCTCTTTGTTCTGACAAGGACCTCTTACCATCTGCTTTAAAAGTGTGGGTGCCGGCCCTCCCTAGTGGCGCAGTGGGTTAAAGCACAACACTGAGAATCTAAAGCCGCTTCCGCATGAGTTCGATCCCCACCTGCCCCGGAGGTGACCACATGGCGTGGCAGACCTCTCCTGACCCGCCCGCTGCTCCCCTCAGCAGTGTACTTCGTCGATCTGCCTGTTCTGCTCCCCACTCTGTCTCTGGTGAAGCCTCTCACCGCCCCTGAGCCTCTGGCCTGTACCCCAGTTCTGTATGCACAAATAAATAAATCTTAAAAAAAGTGTGGGTGCCCCAGACCTCTGCCAGAACAAAAGGCAACATGGCAGGAAGACAGCGCACGGGCCCGAGCAGCAGCTCCTAAACTAACTGAAGAGCGAGGCACACGGCTGCCGCACATCCTCGCCGTGACACGGGGAGCCGCTGCCCATCAGAGCCACGAGGCCACGTGCAGAACCTGCATCGACGCGTCCAAGCCCACGCCCAGTGCGCGACACAACCCACCTTCCTTCCCAACACACACGCGGCAGGCGACCTACCGACTGGGCGGCCGACAGGGCCAGGTCCCCCAGCTGGTTGAGGAAATACATCCGGGAGATGGCTGGGATCATGTCCATGATGAGGTGGTAGTCGACCATGTTCCGAGAGTACATCTCCAGCCTCTTCAGGTCATAGGGCAGGAAGAGTGCCTCCAGCTCCTCCCGGCGTAGGGCTATACAGGCCAAAGCCAGAGGGTCAGGCGGCCGGACGCCCTGGCCAGGCCCGACGGGGTACCCAGACAGGGTGCCCTCTTGGGACCAGGGTGTATGCCAACAGCAGCTGCTCCTCGGGGCCTCGCCAAGCAGAGGTGAAGAGGCCCCTGGCGTGCCCCGCCACAAGCTGCATGCTGCCCGGGGCAGCCCTGAGGCTCCTGCGGTGGTCGGGGCGCGGCCCTTGCAAGTTCCCAGACCAAGGGCAGGTCCCCACGCCCCAGGGTGAGAGGAGCACAACCACACTCCTTCCCCACGGCCACTGCTCCTCAGCACCCAGAAAGTGTGTGCGCTAGGACCACATTTTCCACCAGTGTAATTGGCACGAGAAAAAGGAACATATACAATTAGCAACAGGGGGAAAACTTCACAGCTGCTAATACTAACGATCCCTTACACGTTTTTGTATTTTTAACATTCAGACAGAATTTATAAGCCCAAAGCACTTCTATGTGTTGGCCACAGGAGGTTGGCGGCATACCCTTACTACAATTTCACTAATGAGGAAACTGAGCCTCAAAAGACTAAGCCCGCACCCCCAGCTCACAGGATCTAAGTCAGCTCCATAATTAACTAGCTGCACAACCTTATTACTTGACAACTCCAAAGTCAAATCACATCCCCAAAGACTTGTTTCGAAGCTGAAGGAGCAGTGTGACGGCACCCCTAAGGCACAGCAGGGACCCTAGTGGAGGCGTCAGTGGAAGCGAGGACTTGACCCGTCCCTCAATGCCCAGCCCAGCCTGCTCCCGTGTCCAGGCTTCTCTTGGCCTCCCAGCCTCCCTCGGGCCCACTCACCCGGCTGCGCTGGCTTCCCGATGTTCCTGTTCTGAATGATGTTCAGAGCCAGGGCAGGAGAAAAGGTGCTGAACTGGTAGGACAGCAGGGCCAGGAAGCGCCTCCGGAAATCTGTGGGGCACGACCGGTCAGAGGCCTGGGCCCCCTGGCCGCCTCCTAGCTGTCCCCACTCCACCCCAATTCACCTTTCCAAAAGGCCGAGAGCCAGGCTCCCTGGTGCACCTCGTCCTCGTCCTCGCTGGTCAGCACCTTCAGCATGATGCACGAGTGTTCTCCGGTCAGATCATTCTGGAACACACACTGCGAATTAGCACCGAGGGCCCCTTTCCTTGACGACATCGCTGCTGAGCGCACGTAGGGAGAAAGGCCTGGCTTCTCCAGCTGCCTCGCCTTCTCCCCTGGCCCGGAGATGTGCTCCGCCCTCACATTCGCACACGGGCTCACCCCTGCACCCCCGTTTCCGAAGACCAGTTTGTCCTGCAACTTCCACGCAGGTGCCACAAAAACGGAGCAGAGCTGCTCAGGCCTTCAGCGTGGCCCCTTGCTCCTGTCAGGTCAACTCTGAACCCTGTCACCACGGCCAAACTGCACACCGTCCAACCCCCATGTTTTTGGCCACGGCCGGACTGCCGTGCTTTGCAAGGACAGGCTTCTTCAGTGCTCAAACTGCGACGGTGAGTTTCCAAGTTTTACCACCGAACAGCCACGAAGTCCCACACCAGCAAAATATCTAGTGAATTTCAACCGAAGAGCTTTCCTGTCACACGCTCACTAGGAGCGAGGGCAGCACTGAGGGACCCACCACGATCTACACCCAGCTCAGTGGCCTGCGCTCTCCTCGCTGCCAGCTACAGATCTCTCTCGAGTCTCCCCCCAACTCCTAGATAAGCATCCAGGTAATCTCCGTGCTGCTCTGTGCCCCAAAATCCAGTGGCCTCCCCAGCCCCACATTAAGACTCTCAAACAGGCACTAGCTCTGACTACTGGCTTTGTGTGCTCCAAACACAGACGGACAGTGCTCTTCCTGTTCAGATGACGACCTCTCCGCACTGAGAAAACGGAAGCAGGATGCCATCCTTCCAACCCAGCCCCCACCAGCTGGTGGACGTCTCGGCCACCCATGCGCTTGCCCTTCCCCCGTGGTGAGGGGTGGGGCGGCCACCTCTCCTCCTGCACTGGCCCTCCCCGCCTCGCACGCCTGCACTCCCCCCGTCAGCCCCTCCCCTGCACGATCATTTGCACCAGCCTGCAGGATCATACCTTGCAGCAAACAAACATGCTCTTAAATCTGCCATCTGATAAACCCACCTTAGCTCCAATCTCTCAATAATCTCGTCAGCCCAAGCTTCTTGAACTCCAGACCCCAAAAGTCAACTGCCTCGTCCTCACCTACATGTCTAACAACCATCTCGCTCACACTTTCTATGCAAGAAAATAAATTTCCACTTTTCCTTCCAATTCTGTCCCTCCTTCTCTGGGCCCCATCTCAGCAAACAGCACCACCAACACCCAGATTTCTCAAACCCCAGTCTCTCAAGCCCCAAGTCTGGGAATTATCCTCGAGCCTCCTCATCCAGTTCTAGGAGGGACGGACCTAGTTCAACCTCCAAAACCACCTCACATCTGGCCATCTGGCCTCACACCTCTCGCATCTTCGCTACTCCCACCCTAGGCCGAGCTGCCTTGTCTTCACCCCGCCTCTCCGCTCTACCACTACCATCCACCACCCACACGGTAGCTGCCGTGACTGCTACATTCTGATCATTGGGTGCAAAGGCTGCTGGGCCAGCTCAGAAGCTCAATTACTCCTTGAATTACAGTTCCAGTGTTTGGTTTTCTTCGCTAATAGTAATTTGTTACTTGTTCACCTTTTATACTGCTGTTTTCCACCCATTAGAAAATAAGCTTCATGGCTTATCTTGCTCAGCACCTGAGTCATTGCAGGTGACAAAATAAACAGGTTTTAACAAACTAGTCCTCAGCGACCCTCAGGTTCCGAACAACCTTCTGCATGCGGCTTCCCCACACTGTGGCAGCCCCGCCTTCAGACACCAACCTACAGGGGAATCTGCACAGGGCCACACTGTCCTGAAACCACCCTGGAGGGCCCCGGCTCCAGGAGCTCCAGAACCTGTGTCCATGTGCGCCACCATCCTATAAGCAAGCACAAGGCGCACCCTGCCTGGCCTCCCGGTGAGGATGCTCTGTCAGGGTCCCTGCAGCAAGCCTCCCTCCTGGAGGCACAGAACAGCTGCACGGAGCCCAGCAGGGGGCACCAGGGCTCTGTCAAGGACCGGCCTGTCTCCACCCACAACTGCAAACCCACACCCTCCCCTGCCAGAGGCCTCACTCACCGGGGTCTGCCTCAGGTAAACAGGAACAAACCCAGATCGTTTCCAGAACCTGCAAATAAAGCAAGCAGGTCACACTGCAGTTTCTGAGGAGTGGCTGACAATTAGGAAGGTCATGGAGAAGCAGGGAGAGGACAAACGCTGACACAGCTCACAGCACTTTTCAGCACTTTTCATTTTCAGCACAGCCAAGGGGGTGAGGGAAGAGGATGAGCAGGCAAGTCCTTACTTGAGGAGCCTGGGGGTCAAGCCGTAGGACACACCCAGGTAATCCAGGCGCTCAGCCGGCCTCTCATTCAATTTGAGGAGTAGAGGAGGAAGGTCTTTCCGGGGAGTGACCACCTCTTCCAACAAGCTGACGGCCTGAAGGATGCCGGGAAAGAACACAGGTCAGCAGGGGAGGGGAAGATGGCCAGTGACACTCCTGCCACAGCAGACTCTGGACTTAGCACAAGCAAACTAGGGAGAGGCTTCGAGGCTTGTTCCCACGGTTTTTAAAAGAAAGGAACACCAGCAGGTCCAAGGTCATCCCCAAGTATGCCAACTCCAAAGCACACAGGGACTCATGCTGCTGGGAACGCGGGAAAGCAGCTTTCAAAAACAGATGTACTGAACAGAGGAAGGGGAGGGCAGAGGGGGCGGAAGAGCCAGGATGGACCTTCATCTGGCTGCCACCCAGGCTCCAGTGACAGGTGACAGCCCCCTGCACAGCTCCCCAACAGGAGCCCCGTGAAAAGCAAATGATGCGCATGAAAAGCTCACAGCGCCTGGCACTATGGGCACGGCCAAGGAGGCAGTGCCACCAACGGGGGGCTGGCGCCGAGCGCAGCGGAGGAGCAGAGGCCTTCAAGCCGGAGCACCAATGTGAAGGCACACTGGGGAGCCCAGCCGGCCTGGGTCAGCAGGTCTGGAAGGCGGCGGCGCGAGAGCAGGGTCTAACAAGTCTCCAGGTGATCTGGTGATACAGCCCTGAGGGAGAGAGCCGCCAACTGCCAGGACCGGAGAAAGGCTCTCCAAGCGGGGGAAGCCTGCGGGGGAGCCCAGCCTGCCCGACACCGCTTGGCCACGGGCCTGAAGACCCAGAGAAGGCCACTCCCGGCCCCCCGGTGCTCGGCTTACCTTGCAAAATGGACTTACCTCGCTGCTGACGGTGTGGATTTCTTGGGACGTCTCAAGGACCTTTTCCTCCAGACGAGGGAACCTGCCTTCGTAGTACATCTGCAGCAGCTGCAGAGCCCGGCTGCCATAGCCCATCTGCAAGAAAGCATGGCGGGAGACCGGAGAGAAGCTTTTTCTCAGGGTGTCCACCACTCCTATGCCGCAGAAAGCCTTCACTCTGGGCCAAGCATGCAGTGGGCAAAGAGAACCAATAAAAACCCCTCAGCGAGGCCCAGCCATGCCCCTTAGTGTGCAGCGCGCCCCTGGCCCTCGCGCCCTCAGCCCTCGTGAGTGGCCCACAGGGCGCCGGCAGAGCTTTCTGGCCCACACATCAGGAAGTGCAAACTGAAGGCTCTAAGCTAACTCCACAGTGGCATGTCCAGAGACGGGAAGTGACCAGAGACAGCAGACGGAATCCCAAGGCCCTGTCCTCACAGAAGAGCAAGCACCTGTGACCACACCTCCCCGCCCCACCCCCAGGCAGAGAAGCACTGGCCCTGCGTGCTCCTGGAGTTTCCTGCTCAAGTAGCCAAAGAACCGGCCCCATGAGCTGCCGCCAGTGCACAGCGCTGGAGGCATGAGGCTACGTTACCCCTTGATAATCTGGATGAACAGCGATGCGAACGACCCTTCCTCCTGAAAGGCCACCGAAGTCTGGATCTTGGAACTGTGTGGGAGACACAAGCCAGCAGCTTAGCAACAGAAAGCACCAGCTTCACCCACTCAGACATACCAGGGTAAGAGTGTCACCTGTTCTGACACCGTCCACGGAATCAGGTCCCCCGAAGCCTTCTTCCCGCGAGACAAGCTGTTCAAGATGGACTGTCGCGAAATCTCCCCCTCAAGGCACACCTGGGGGGAAACAGGACAGTGCAGGTACAGAGCCCGCCCACAGCCTGTTCCTCTGTGTCAAGTGCCCAGCTGTTTCCACTCCACCTGAGGCTTAGCACTGTAACTGCCTCGTCCATCTCCAATGGACATTTCATTCCTGTGCCCCAGGGGCATCCTGACGTCCTCCCGGCCCAAAGAGTAAAGACCACCCTTCTGCAGGCCAGAGTCTCATGTACATGTGGGCACACCAATGAAGTGACAGGTTATGCACAGCTCTGTACAGAAACATGCAAACGTACAATGTCCAGGGTCTACAGGGTAACGGTTGAACACCGCACAGTACGTGCTTTAATAAAATACTAGGCAGCGAAAAATCATGCATATTATGGGGCCCTCCCTGGTGGTGCAGTGAGTTAAAGTGCAGAGCTATGAAGCTACTGGCAGCCACTACAACACAAGTTCGATCCCTGGCAGGGAGGTGACCTCTCCTGTCTTGCCTGCTGCTCCCCTCAGCAGTATATTTTAGTCAGTCAGCCTGTTCTGCTCCCCACTGTCCCTGGTGAATCCTCTCACCCCCACACCTCTGGATTGTACCCCAGTTCTTGTATGCATAAATAAGTAAACCTTTAAAAAATCATTCATATTATGAACATTGATATACTGGGGGGGGGAGCCCCTCCATACTTGAGAAGTTCCCCAAATCAGTGCCATAAGGACACCTCCGCTTCTGTACCTGGATGACAGCGAGCACTTCAGGAAGGGCATTCTGGGTTGGAGGCACGGGAGGCAGAAGGCAGAAGAGATGGTGAGCAGGTGCATCAGAAAGCATCTGGAGGTCGTTGGGAGAGTTCTGTGGGGACACAAACGGGGGTCAGTGAGAGCCTCTGTTCCTCCCTAGAGGCTACTCTGGAATCATGGGACGACTGAGCGCTGCCTTCCTCAAAGCCCAGGGACGAGCTGTACCCCAGCAGCGCCCCTTGCCAGTTCCCTGGCTCGCCAGTCTCAGCGTTCACATGGCTTACGTGGGACTTAGCGTCAAATGCCAAGTGTAACTTACTGTGAGTGATCGCAAGTGCTGAGGCAGCAAAGTAGGGAGAACTGCCTGGTAAGCACTATTTACTCCACAGCCGGGAAGGAACTTCCCTGATAAGCGGCTGCTAGCTCAAGAAAATCTGACGCCACTGTCAGCCTCCCATTAAAGGGAGCTCACAAAACTGCTACCTAGTCACTCAGAAAGTGTCCTTCCCAACATGGCCTTAAGATTTGCAAATATTCGAAATGCTCTAATTCATTGTTCCTTAGCATAAGCAGCCCAGAGGTACAAGGCTGGTCTTGGGCCAACAGCCTCACGGCCTAGCAGTCTAGCAATCTAGCAGAGGTGAGACACTGTAAGAACTCCTTCAAGATGGGCAAAATTCCCACCCAGGATCCAGTCTGAACAACAGGGGGAACTGCATCCCCTTCAGCAAGATCACGGACATGGCCAACCTCAGAACATTCCAGTCCCACTGGAATGGTCACCCGTGCCATGAGGGAATAACAAAAGGAAAAGTCAAGCGCTGAATTTCATTGCTAAAGCTCACCCAAGGTTAGGGGGTCCGGTACCTTGTAGTGAGAAGCCACGTAGAGGGCCATGAGCCGTTGGAGGAAAACTTCGGAGGCCTTGTGGTAGCAGAAGAGGGTATCTCTGTTAACATAGTACCTGGGTCTAGAGTTAAGCAACCAAAACAAACCAGAGAAAGTCCCAAGCAGCATACCCTACTCCCCATGGTGGATTCCCGTTAAGTCGGGGAGAGGAAGCCCGTATCCTGAGCAGAGACAAGTTTGGGAAGGAAGAAAAGGAAAGCAACGTTGCTTGCCCCCACCACCACCATCACCCTCAACCCCCACCCCAGAGGCAAAGAGGCAAATCCCTTGGTGAATTCTTTCACCCTGCGCTCTGCCTCTCGGGGGCAAGTTCACGCAGGAGGATACAGTTCACAGGCTTCCGGCAAGGGGCAGCCTGACACTATCCGAGTGATGTTGAGGCAATCCAGGCACAGCAAGTCGTTGAGCCACTTCTCCACGGCGTCCCCGGGCGCGTATCGGATCGACTCCTGCAGGGAGACCTCGTGCAGCGTTCGCGCTGCTCCCAGGACACAGGTGCAATGAGAAGCAATGATTAAATAGGATTCATCTTAAAGAGCAAGGCGAGCATTCTACTTTACTTCCCTCACCTGGAGCCCTCACTAACAACTCCCACCGAGTGGCTTTATACTGTTTGCGTGGCTGCTCAACACGCTGTGACACCATCCCAAAGGACCTTACAAGGCCAACGCCACCACAGCCTGACACGGTGACCAACGAGGGCCTGGCTGCCTAAATGCCACGGTCAGGCTCCCAGCTGTTCCCTGGCTTCACGTTCCTCAGGCCTCAAGCTCCCTGACTGAGGGAAGGTTTAGTGCTACCCATAATGTGATAAAGGACCCAGCAAACGAGTCTGAGGAGACCTGCTATGTCCTGCAGGGCCCATTCAGAGTTCTGGGGGTACCTGAGGCCAGTCTGGCTGTGGTCGTGGTCTTGTTCTCAGCAGTGGTGCTGATCTGGCTCTGGGCACTCTGTTGGCGGAGCTGCTGGATTAGCTTGAGGGACAGCGACCGGCCAGTGCCCTCGTAGCTGGGAGCAGAGGCAAGGCAGTTAGGCATGAGGCTGCAAAGCCGCTCTCCAGGAGACAAGGGACTGTTTCTCATGCCACTGACACCCCAGTCTCCTGCTCCGCAAGGACAGTACTGCTCACCCTGGACTCTCGGCACAGCGTGTACTGGCCCAAAGGAGGCCACAGCACTGGGCTCAGCCCAAGTCAGATGGCCTGTTTCCAATCCTAGTTCTAAAGGGGGCAAAGAACACCCCCTCTTTTAGCCTCATCCTCAAAAGAGGACTATTCTACACACCTCACAGGACTATGCATGAACTAAAACATTAAGAAATGAAAAGACAATGTCAAGACTTTATCATAATGAACCTGGAACAGAACAAAGCGGTCGGTAATGAGCATGGTGATTTGGAATAACATGTGTGAAGGTATGAGGCAGTTTAGAAAATCAAGGTTCAACAGGCCCACACCCAAGTAACTCTTTTCATTACTTTCGTGCAAAAGGTAGTACAAAATAACTGTGGAAAAAAATTAGGAAAAAGCATAATCTGACCCCTGAACCCGCTCTTTGTCTTCCCTCTCTATCTTGAGTTCGGGCACAGGTGGCCAGAGCATGCAGAATGATTGGTGCATATTTTTTCCAGGTGCCACATTCATCCACAGCACTCACCAGCAGGAATATTTCCTCTCATCCAAATGTTACTTTTAAAGAATGACCCCCAAAATGGCATTTTTAAGTATTCTCTCTCCCCACCCACATTAATAAAGCCTTCTCAAAGGAGTTCCAGTTACTCCTTTACAACCAGCACAACCAACAAAACTAAAACATGCTGTAGTTCAAAGAAATTATGAAAGTCAAAAAAAAAGGGAGAAAATTTTTTTGCAAATAATTTATCTAATAAGGGCTTTGCACATAGAATATATAAAGAGCCCTTAAACTCAACAATAAAAAGACAAACAGCCCCATGAGTGGGGAGGAGAGGACCTAAACACATGTCTAAAGAAGACACAAACAGCCGAAAGTACATGCAACCCCCACATCACCAGCCCCAGGGAAATGCAGATGGCAACAGGACCCTGCTTCACCCTTCCCCCCCACCCCAGGTTGGCTACATCAAAAAGTCATACAACAAAGGTCGGCAGTGAACTAGAAACAGCCATACAGGACAGATGGGAATATAAAAACAGTGCAGGAGCTTTAAAAGGCAAACAGCCTAGTGGCTCCTCAGAGTTGCACAAAAGTTACCATCTGACCTCGAATCCACTGCGAGGTATATACCCAAGGGAAGTGAGAGCAAAGCCACATAAAAACCTGCACGTGACCTTCAAGGCAGCATTCGTCCCAACAGCCCAACGAAGGAAACCCAAATCTCCATCAACAGATGGATGGATATAACAAAGTGTGTATAAGCACGCACACCGGTACTGACAGACCGGAAAAGGCTACATGGGTGACCCTGGACACACGGACGTGCAAGCCAGCCAGAGAAGACCACGCATGGTATGAAGAGGCCAGGAAGGCAAATCCGCAGATTCGGAAGACAGATTAAGGGTTCCCTAAAGCCAGTGGGAAAGGAGGGATCAGAGAATGACAGCTCAAGGGCTGCTTCTTGCGGTGATTAAAATGTTCTAACACCGCAGTGACAGCTGCATAGCTGACCACTGAAAATCACTGAATCGTATGCTTCAAATGGATGATTTATGTGCTATGTGAATAATATCCTAAAGAAGTTATTATCAAAAGAGAATAAATCCATTTTATTTAAATATTTCCAGAGTAATGCAGTCACAAAAATAAATCTATAAAACAGAATTGTAACTTCAAGATGTGCGATCCATGCAAATAGAATGCAAACCATGTTTATGTTCTTGCTCAAAATGGAAAAATAAATGGGCAGGAAATGTACACTGAAATTCTAACAGAAGTGCTCTCTAGACAGCTGAATTACTGATTTTTCCAATTTTCTGATATTTCCAATTTTCTCCAGCAAGCATGAATGAAAAAATTTCAAGCTTTTTTCCCAAAAGTTTTTAAGTCTTGATAAGCTTCCTTATGACAATCGCATGTTACTGTAATACTATTTCCACATCTTCCTAAGATGTGAGACACTGACCATCCCCATTCACATATCCTTTAAAACCAGAATTGGACCCACAGACAGACGGCAATAGCCACC